TTATTTTTGTATACCCAACCTAGCGTAATTATTTTTATTTCTTTGCCACACACTCCTGACAAACTAACTTATTGGGTAGCCAGAACACTACAATTCAAAGAAATTCCCCCATATTACTGACAGACTTCCAGATACCTTATGCGAACTGAGTCGGACCACATCTTGAATACGCCGACCAAACTGTTTACTCAGGACGCAAGAAGGACGTAATCCTTGTTGAGCGCGTCTAACGAGCTGCTAAACATGGTTGTCAGCCTTAAATCTGTTGATCTTGAAAGGCGACTTGTGGTTTCGTTTTCCCCTGGATTATCGTTGCTCTCGAGGAGACCTAATACATACGCCTTGTTTGCAAAAAGCCTTTGCCAACAAAATTTCAGCATTGAATCAATCTATACGCGGCGAGGACATGGAAAGAATATTTTTAAGCTCAGAGCACACACTATTTTCAAGTGACAGTTTTTTCTCACGTCGGGTGGTAGATGAGTAGAATAATCTTCCTCAGACAGCTGTTCATGCTATATTTTGTACCCAGTTCAAAGCAGGTTTAGAAGTAGTCATGTAAGACCTTGCACTGGCAAGCTCACCACCTCTTACTGAGAACCTGAAGAGCTGTGCTACACTCTCTTTTTGCTTATGCGTATCGGGTGAACAGATGCCGCTGAACGACGGTAACAAACCCGACCCGGGAAGTTTCAGTGAATGCTTCAATCCTATGCATCAATCAGTCAGTTCGCCAATGTCTCCTGTTAACCTTTAGGGATCGATATTTCGACGATCTTCAAGTCTCGAGAACCAACGTCTGCCGCAAAATTCAAATCATGCGACGATAAGACATTACTGCTGGTGAATAGCCTGGCTGTAGTTGGGTTTCAATAGCCTGAAAGTGAACCGGTTTTACCTATATTTATAACAGTTATCGCGGGTGAACAAACAAATGGTAGTATAAGGAAAATGGGTCAGTTCCAGTTGAGGTTTTGTCCAGTAGGTGAAGTCAGTCTACGAGGGAAAGATGAGAAATAGTGTAGATCTGTTTATCCTTATCACCAGTATTGCGCATCACACAAAACTTCAGGGAGTTTCGTTGTGGTTGTGGGATTTGTGGAATTCACTTTGTTTTGACACGTCCCTATAGAGCACCACTTCTTGGTTGAACGTACGCGGATCTTATTGGGCAGAAAACTTGATGGCTTAGCGATGGGTAGCCCTTGTCGAGTCCAATAACAGCCGACTTGATTTTGTCATGAAAACACCGGAAACGAACAACCACACTAAGAAGTTCATTTCACATCACAATAGAACACGTCCTCCAACTGATTTAAAGCAGCAGGAATGTAATTTATTTTCCTGCATCGTGTGCTCTTGAAGTACTCTGAGTGAGGCACTCAAGCAAATTAATGAGGCTGCACAATCAAGGAAATCGCCGTTGCAGACGCTTGCAGAATTACTGTCAAAATCAAACTGTATATGTTCATTCACCTGTAATGGTGCTGGTGGTTACAAAAACTGGTGCTGGTTACAAAACTGGACGCAGGTGTGACATGTGTGCGAAAGTACCCTCAGTACGCGGCTCGAATGATGGTCTAGACAAACCGTAATTAGTTTGGTTGTTGGTCTGTTCGCCGAGCTTGGCAGTTAGATTGCAAACGTTTCATCACCAATCGAGGTGACATCGTCAGTTCAGGGTTGAGTGGGTGTTTGCTAAAGCCAGCTTCATCGACTGCCAGTTCACTCTGGTCACGTGATTTCTATCGACCATTCGTTTGAAGCAAACATGACAAGTCATCGGCTGCAGATATTGACTTTCCTTGATGCCATAATCACAACTAGACAAAACCCAATCTGTGACTGGTCGTAACGTTGCGTTCATGGCAATTTGTACAATGCTTATCTAGGTGGACCAACCAACCTCCCCTCCCTTTTTGAATTTCCAATTGCACTCCGTATTAATCCGCCTGTGATTCACACATCCTAGGTTTTCTGGCTGATAGGACTGTGTGAAACGTTTTTATTATTGTTACTCATATTTCGGAAGCTGTTGCGCAGCTCTTTTTTCTCACTGAGGTGTGTGATAAAACATGCGCCTAACCCAGTGTCAAGGCTATCAGGAATGACACCTAAACAAACGCTATTCGAGCAGGTTGATTGTGCAGAACTCTGTATGCTACCCATCTATGCCATACCCAGTACTAGCAAATCCTGTTCTTCGATATGAGTGCATTTACAGACCAATTATGTGGTAACCAAACGGTGCTTCATTCCGCTTTGCATTGTGTGCGCCATCGGCTGAGCCACTGTTTTCACTTTCTTCTTGATTCTTCTTGCAGTTGCGGATACACTTTGATTCGGCAACCCGCGTCTCCGTCGGGGACGGTTATTCCTGTATCTTCATTTGATACTTCACCCGAAGCTAACACAATGCAGCTGTTTAGTCCATTTTGGACTTTTTTTTCAAGTTGTGTTTAAGCGTTTGAGTCTAACAATTGGGAACCCTAACAGTTCTCCCGTCCGGGATATGGGGCAGAGGCATTGTCCCGGGCACACGTCAATAGAATTAACCTCATTCCAAAACGTCCATCGCTTAATGACATCGGACCGAGCACTCTATTCTTTGCACACAGTAGGACGTTCAAGTGAAGCTCAACAAATACCGAAATCTCTCATTCACCTTCCTGACCTTTGCCCCTGACCTATTTTTCCACTGCACCTGACAATCGCTTTCCAGTCCTCACGACTGCCGTCCATGACGATGTTGACTGCAAGTACAATGTGCCGATCTGGTTTATATTTCTGCAAGGTTGAAGGTTACTAATGGCTTATTCTCCCAAGAGGTTTCACGATAAAATCTCAGTTTTCTGTTTAACAGTATCATCATTTATTATTTCTTACGAATACCATTCGACGTGCTTCAGGATTGCTGATCCGGCATTCCTACCAGATTTGGGCAATGCTCCAAAGACATCGATGGTCGAACACTAGATGTCGTTGGCTCGCAGCAGACAAGTTTCTGACCCGTATAGTAATATAGACCGCACTCCAGCATTGTAAAATCGAACCTGGACGGATAAGCTGATGTCACGCCTACGTAGGTTCACAAAAGCTTCTCTGGCCTTCCCAATCCGGATAGAAGCATCACCGGGACTAATACAGCTGGCCAGGTGGACAAGCTTGTCAAAGTTCCGAGAACTGACCCACTCACTACAACTTAATCTTGGACATGTACAATCTACGGGTTTTTCTTTCTCACCCAAACGAAAAGAAAATATTCATTCACGACTTCTAAGCTTCCTCTCACAACTGTTCAAAACGTCTACCAAGAGAGGATAACTTTTCGTTCACTTAGCATATCGGTGCTAGGTAAAGGGCAACACAGGTCTGGGGCGCAGATACACACCAAATCGTTAACTGAGGCAGCCTCTTGTTGTATGCATGGTTGACATTTTTATTTGAACAACGTCCAACACCGGGCAATTCGAAATTCATATCAATACGTGGATTTCGACGCTTGGGGATTATGTGCATAACAAACTGAGGGTTGATTTGGCTTCATTGAGCTCAGCTGGGTCTCTACATCACACATTAGCCAACTTATCCAGTGTTCAGTGTTTTTTAGGGGGCCCACCATATGAATTTCACCTTGTATTGTTTTCTAGCATCCCAAACTGTAATCCGGCTTCCTGACCCATGTATAGCAATTGTGTATGGTATTATGACTAAGAACGTGCACGAATAGTTAGCCAGCGTCCACTATTCGCACAATCAATCAATAATCCAAGTAGGCTAAATGTGTGACTAAATGCCTAAATGGTGACTCACTGACGTGACCTACACTAAGTACCCATGGAAAGTGGTCTGGAACATCCATGAGTTTCAAACCGTTTCATCGAGTAAAGAGCTTCTTACAAGGAACCCGTGTTGAAGGCAGTTCCAATCAGATCACATTCACCCGGTAAAACAAGCAAGCCGTGTTACATAGTAGTGTGAAAAAAATTGGAATTGCGTATGCTGATCGACCACTGCCACAATCGAAATGAACTTTGTGCACAGATTCCGATCCAACATTCCAGTCATTGCTTTTTCAGAAGAAAGCTAGACTATGGCTCAGTTAGTGAAGCCTATGACAGATTCGCACACTTATGGAGGGTTCAACAGATCGGTGGGATTCGCGCGATTCACACAATTCGAGCGTGTCACCATCCAGGTACCTTAGTTGAATTACACAAAATGTTGCGTAACTCGACAACTAAATTAAGCTAGACCCGAATATCGCATTGCTACGACATCCGTTTTGTGATAAAATCGATTGGCTTGCTCCAAACGAAGAGTGATGTATGAGCACTTTCGAAAAACAAGGACGTAATCCGTTGATGGAATCCATTCACAAGATCGCACGATATATTCAACCTATAGCATAACCAACCGTGTGCATGCACCAGCGTATGGAGTTCACCGAATACTATACAAACAGAGTGTTGCACACCACGTACGTTCAAGGCTTTCGTTCACTTTGGTCAACTGGAGCAACCCAATAATCTAGGCGTCTGGTCAGAAGCGAGAGAGAAAAAAACGGCCAGGGGCAGAACGATTTATGTGAACCCAATAATCTAGGCGTCTGGTCAGAAGCGAGAGAGAGAGAAAAAAAACAGACAAGAGCAGAACAGATTTATGTGATAAAATGAAGTAACCAAGGAAAAAACAAAGGCAAGAAGACAAATAGAGAAGACAAGACATATCACCCAACACGACAAACGCAAGTCGAACAATGGCCCACCCAACCGCTGGCTAAATATATAGGTAGGCGGTGTCGAGGGGTAAAATGGAGGAATCGATTTTCGAGGGTTGGACAGAATAGAACTGAACAAGACAAACAAGACAAACAACACAACCATGTCAGACCGGAAAATGACCGCTGCAGTCGATGTGCGTGTATGAGTGAGTGTTCTCAAATAAGCACCGCAAACAATGAACCAGTTACTACTCTGGGCTTGGGCACCCATCGGAAGACCAAAATAATGTAAACAGATCACAATTTTATTGTGGGAGTAAGTGGGAAAAAGTTGGTTGTAGCATACCTTGCACAACACTAAGGTGTGTGGACAGGACACCATTATCTGACTTTTCATAAATGATGTAAAGCATGAAGACTGATCATCACCTAAAAAGATAAATACAAACCCTACTCGTAACAAAGAATATTCAAAAAGCAGTAAAGGATGGATCGCTCTATCACCATGCGTGGATGTGCGAATCAAACGGATCACTCTCTTTTTCTCGGAGCGGATCGATACAGCTCTAACAATGACCTCCCGAAAGAAAATGTAGAGGAAATGGAGGGTGAATGTATGTGAAAAAGTGTGAGAACTGGTACAGAAGCCAAAAAGGAGCCTAGAACGGCTGAGTGGTCTTGTACAATTGCTTGACAACTCCAAGAAGACATTACAATGGACAGGGAGGAAAATCATGCGGACATAAACAGCAGAAAAAAACAATGCGATCAACCGGAAGAGCATAAAAAAAAGGATTGCGCGCGCGAGAGAGTAATGAATGTCTAGATATACCAGTTTCCCTAGAGAATCAACAAATACACGAGAATCAGCTGCTCACCGATCTGTGTAGGTTAGTTCTGAATGGTCAATTATACTGTAGACAAACAAAACAAAACAAAACAGAACAAAAAACAAAGAAACAAAACATGCAGAAAGACTGTTGGGATGAGTTAGAGGAAGGGGGGTAGGCAGCACAACAACAGGGCAATGGATGAGCAGCGACCGCGGCAGATGTGATGGGTGATGTGTGGGCGAAATTGCGTGACTTATTATTATTGAGAGATCACAAGAACAATCGTCGGGAACATAGCCTGAAGAGAGCGGGATGAAGAAGGACTTGGACGATCTTGTACAGAGAAATACGAGTGAAATGTGTGTCGGACAATAAATGTCCAAAAAGGGATTCTGGCGTGAGACCGATATGAATCCGAGTGCAGCTAGGCTCGAACGTGACAACCGTTGAAGGCGAACATGGATGCATGTATGAGCGAGTTCCCATCACGTCAAGATCGGCATCTTAAAGTATGTGTTAGACAGCCGGGTGGTGGATGAACTCGGCTGGTCTGTTGAGCCGTTCCTGTGTTTGCACTAAACTTGTCGGGACATGGGAACCGGTCGAAGGCTGCGCAGCTAGGAAGTGCTGTAGACCCATGAACACCAGGAGAGTCGCGAGCGCGAATAGGAACAGAAACAAGCAAGCTAATTTCCGATCACTGAGACGAAACCAATGCTGAGCTCGTTTGGAAAAGGCCGAATTGTGTGTGGACGTGCTGTGAGGAGAAGATTTGGCAGATAAGGCTAATTGTGCACCGGCGGAAGATACCGGCACTTGGATAACAGGATTACTGGCACCGAGACGACGACGCAAAGACGGATTGTTCAGTGTGGAAACGGTCACCGGGGGCGTGGAGGATTGTGCTGCCGTCATCTGTGGGGAGGAGGACAAAGTCGGGCCTGATTGTGGATAAATAACACGAAGCGGAATCCGGAACACACGGGGAAACCACCTCCACATGTTTAGCGAAGTTCTGGTGACCGAGTCACGTTGAGCGGATAGGCCGCCATCCAGAGGATGGCTTTTTGGCAACCGCAGTGGACGAGTTGAAAAATTCAGCCCATGAGAGTAGGGTCCAGGCAGTTCAGTGACATGGAATATGGATACGTCCAACGGGTCCCGGGACCAATCGTCATCGGTACTTGGACGCTTCAGTACGCAAGAAGAGACGCAAAATAATAACGAGAAGGTGCGAAAAAATGGATAGAATGTTACTTAGCACAGTGAGGAGCTAATCCGCAGCGAGTACAGAACACTAGATTTAGTGAATCCTAAACTGCTACATGAATATCCAGTATGAAGGACACGAAAATTAGATGATAAACGGGCCAATAAGAGGCAATGCGAAGCTTTCAGGTAAAGCAAGACCTATACAGTTCTTTTTTAACCAGAACTCCATCTGGAAGAACAAGTATCAGTGAGGCGGTATAAAAAAATAAACATGAGGAAAGGAGTTTCAAAAGGGCTTGGTAAATAATCGGAACGTGGTTCGTATTCCTCTCCGGTATGAGACGTTCAATTTACTACAACGCAATTTACCCGTGGAACGTTATTGATGACTGTGAGGCGACTAGGCCTTATGAGGGTGCTGCCCATAGACAGATTAGTTGCGTTAGACTCACTTCCTCGTTTTTGTCAACCTCGTTTCCCGAGCGAGGCTGTTTCGACGAGATCGTCGTCCCACGATTACAGATGGAGGCGACAGTATTGTTTGGCAAACATAGGCGGATGGCGCACACACGCACCAGGTAATCAGTATTGGGAACCAGATCGGTGAGCCGGCAACTGGTTTGGGTTCCCCGGTAGACCTATGAGAGATCGAAACGGAACGGGAAAGAGGGTAAAGTCGGTAATACGGTTTATGCAGCAAACTGCTCTTCCCATTGGTTACCAATGCAGCACGAATTCCCGAAACACAAAGTTGACAGCAAATGCATTGATTTCAGGCTGAGGGACCGGAAAAGTGGGGGACTAGGGTGACCCAAAAGTGCAGAGCACCCCCTTACAAAGTTCCATTGATACGCATGTTAAAGTGGCTTACACACTTCTATGAGATTTGAAACTACAACTGACTGGTCTCTTTACTTGACTACTTATTGAAGGTATTATGTATCACACTTGAACAGACAATTTGTGACCTCAAACTATTGGAGTTTTGAGTCCACCACTATAAATCAGGTAAAATTTCGGTTTCTGGCCGTGCTGACAAATAAGACCTAACCATCCAAGGTCAGATAGAGCTAGATATCAAACCGCCACGGAATAAAGTTGAACGAAGCGATCTACATTGTTGAGTGTCAGAGCACTGACAGTACCTCTGTTGTACAAGTGTTCAAGTTATTGCTCAATGCAGTCGACGGTCCTTGTGTGGATCAGCTCACGGTGATGACGATGTGTCCGTCAACTGTAAATCTATCAAGTGAATCAACGACTGGGCATGTTCCATTGAAGAAGTTCTCCTGAAGGAGAATCTGGAAAGACAGCGAATAGGCACTCGATTCTTTCCAGCAACGGAGCTGACCAAGACAACAAAATATTCGGGTCCAGCTCGGAGGCCCAGCCTTGAGGCTCGGATAAGTGCATGGAGAGATTTTCACTTTACGCTGTTAGGCGCCAATCTAACCTATGAAAAATCGCCCACTAAACATCTCCTTCAACCTAAGGAGATCTGATTGATAGTTGTTTGTGTGAACAGAAGAATGTGCGAGGCCTGGATAAGCGGAAAGCATCGTATGCAACAAATCATATAGGAGGAACGATAATAAGCGTTATTGTACGGTCAGACCGGACTACCTCAAAAAGAGTAACTCTAGTGATCTAATAAGGCTACTGTGGACAATAAACTTACATCCGTGCCTTGCAGTGTTGAAGAAAAATGATGCAGAACAATAATGTTTCAGGTCACAGGCTGTGAGATTCATGCGGCACTGAATCGTTTTCACCTACTGTTAATGACGTTAACCTTCGTTTTAAATAAATGCTACGCCGTATGGGCTGTTAGTGCTTTTGACAACATGTACTCTTAATCCACAGTTTTGCTCGGTATCTAGAAAAGTCCCAATTCATCTGAATCACGCAACTTTTGGGAGCTAAGTGGACTGCTACAAGCATCCACTGGCCAACCCAATCAGAAGGGAAGGCTAGGTTAACGTAGAATGGAGGCTGACTTCCAAGTATGGCACTCAAAATTGGAATCCACCGGGTGCTGAACTGCTGCTCGATCTGATTAACAAATGGACAGTGATTAATGGTGTGATCGATAAAAGTTTCAGTCAAACTACGGTATCACTGCTCTAAGTAGTTGAAGAACAAGCAAGCATTTCACAAAGCAAATCTGTTGAAAGGCAGAAAACACACGTGAGCTTGGACATTGGACAGTTGGGGCAAATGAGCGCCAGGTTGTAGAACAGGCATTAATTGCACCACATAGACCATAGTATCTGATCCACCCAGAGAGACTGGACTCCATTCGAGGTGACATACATCCGTACTGATATCAACGACTTTCAGACCTGAAATTCACAACATATAGAGGCTGGGCGTTATTGAAAAAATAGAAAGTATCGTGCTACTGACGGACTGGTAAGTAGACGAAATCAGAAAACAATTTCACCTGAGGCGGGGTTTCCGGCAAGCGAGGCCTGCTCGTAGACTGACACGGAGAACATTGTTCGTACATCATGCAGCAAACTGAAGTACAGTACTTATATCGGAAGCTGTTATTTAAGCCCTAAATTAGGGATCAGAGAGTCATGGAACTTTGTTTCGAATATGTTGAGACCATCATTAAGAGGGACGAGATGCCTGAGAAGGACGGGGCTAAATAAAACAAAGCGCGAAGGGAACCTCAGTCTAGACAGGAAATTTTTGTTTATGTGAACCACGATATAGACGGCACATGATGCCTACTAACACTTTGCGACTAGAAATGAATACGCCAAGGTCGTATCATAGTCGTTAAAAATACAACCGAAAAATTCAAAAATTGACTCGGTCTGGAAGTCGCACATAACAAGCACGAAAGTTCGAGCAAGACTATCAATAAAGCCTTCAAATTTAGAGTAAAATCTCGATGATGCTTCGGACTGCGAAGCCTTCAAAAGAGAGGAGTTAAACAAAATGCTGGGCTAATTCAACGCCTTAGCGCAGGATAGTGGTTGAGATATCGTCAGCTTGCCAAAACATGGAAAAGGGGTAATCGAAGGCGGGAGGATTGAACTTGCGCTCCACTGTAACATGGTTCTGTAGCTACTCCTCAGGGGCTCGGACTGGATAGTTGTAGTAAAAAGGATTAGCTTAGGCTCAATGCTCGGGCACATGGTATGCACCCGGTTCCCGGAGGAAAGGAAACCGTCTTAATGTCTTATCATGGGAACAAAATCACCTAGCCGACCAGTGCCCGAGGGTACTTGGTGTCGGCGTGCTTTTGTGTCCTCATGATTTTCACCTTTTGTCGGTCGCTGAAACCGAGGCGGCTTCAAACATTACCGAGTACTAAGCTAAGTATGATACAGACACATAAACGATCCTCCAGAACGATCTAACATGGCTACCAAAACGTATTCAAGCTTAATCAAACAGAGTTTTCAAAAGTGAGGGTCCCGTGAACAACCGAATTTTGCCTGTAGCGAGGAAGTATACCTTAACTCAAGAGCTGGTTACAACAGTGTATAACCTTCGAACAAGCTTCCTACCGGTTGCAAGAGTGCGACCAAAGCTGAATGATATGATGCACGCAACAGCGTGTTCATTGAAAAAATGGACCGGAACGGGAAAACAGCTATAAAAGTGACGTTTTGGTACGGACCGCTTGGTGATGTACTCTTAAAGTTTTTGCAAATACTCGTCGACAAACAATGAGCGTTCGAAAAAGCGAACGGTGGGATAATACACTTCGTGGGTGATTAAAAACCAGTTCAATAATGAAGTATATAGAAACTAAACGACTTTACATTCAAGTCTTGGTGACAATTTCAGATTAATTTCAGTACCGAAAAACGATGGATAGAGCTGTTAGACACGCCCCAAAGTTCAAGAAGAAAAAACGGCTTGGCAGCAACGCAACCAAAAAAGGAAGATAAATTCCTTGTAAGTATAACTCACCTCTGATAACAGGTGGGGGAAGGCGAAGTGTGCTCAAGGACAATACTTCGCTGTAGGCACCTGGCCCAGTCTGATTAACTGCATGTACACGGAAATTGTAGCTGGTGTTCTCAGTGAGGCGAGTAGCTTTGTATACAGTTTCCGGCCCATCGTAGATAGTGTTCCAACTATGGATAAAGACAAGAAACGGTTTGATACAGAGTGAAGATGGGCTGACAGATGGTTCACGACATACGATAAGAGGCAGTTTTGGAAAATACTAATTAAGTAACAAGTAGTATAATGCAAAGGTCTACCGAAAAAGTGAACAACAGGACCCGGCGGAGTGGTTCCTCTGACGGATGCAAAAGTACGGTTAATGGACCCCGCTTGCTACTTAAAGAGAGGTATGCTATTCCGGGGGACCAGATCCCATTGAAATTCATGAGCACGACAGCTCAACCAAAGTGGAACACTACAAGGATAACTGGACCAGCCTACAGACAGAGAAGGTACACGAAGCGCCCAACTTTGTAGCGTATTGCCATCGAAATCAAAACTGGCCATTATAGTGTCAACGTATAGTAAATCATACCATTGCACCACGGACCATCACTATAGTGAACCGGTGAGGCTATTCACAGTTTCGGAGCAGTACAATGATGTTGGGGTTTCACGCTTCGAATCAAGAAATCCCGTCTTGAATGCGATGTGCACTCGTTAGAATTCCCTTACAGGATATGTCTCGATTTCACAGCAAACAGTAAATTGACATGAAGGAATGAGTGCAAAAGAACATGCGCCTCAACAAGATGAACAGGAACAATGCTGCTGTAATCGATTCCAACCCGGCATGCTCGATCTACAAACATCTAGTGCACGATTGTAACATCGGTATCAACTACTCCCTTAAAGGGAACAAGACAAGTCGCCGGTGATGTTGACCGACGTTCTTCGGGACGTCAAAAAGCCTAGTCGGATTTGAGTGTGATGATACATTTGCCCTGGTGACCGGAGTTGTCGAATGTCTAGCATTCGTCGGTTATACTAAGGTTTTGGACCTCTTATAACACTGCTCTGTGTTCGAATAAACTTCGCAAATCGCATGTCATGCGGTTGAGAAAGGTGTATGAAACGGTACAGTCCTGCAAAGCCTATCTTCTTCTCGTCTTCCATTTTTCTCTTATATGCTTATTACAAGTTGCAGTGCAACTGCTTGGGAGACAATGTGCAAAACTGTACGGCATTGAAGAAAATCAGTGTGTATGTGTGTGCAATTTTTCATCTCGCCAACAGATGTTAGACCGGATGCATCACTCATGAAGAGATACCACCCTCGGGGATTAGGAGTCAATGTGCAAAACTGTACGGCATCGAAGAAAATCCTTTAGTGTGTGTGTGTGCAATTTTTCATCTCGCCAACAGATGTTAGACCGGATGCATCACTCATGAAGAGATACCACCCTCGGGGATTAGTCAAGAAGCTCCATTCTGGATGGAAATAACCGTATCTGCCCCCCGAAACAGCCAACCACAAAACATGAGGTGCTGGAAACCATATTGATTTGAGCACTGTAGATGCACCGGCTGGAGTGGCCTCATAACCAGCCTACTGATTTTTGTCAGTTTCTGTTACTCTTCGAGATTTTACACGATGTCGTTCAGATTTTCCGAGTGTTATCAAGGACAACAAAGATCGTTATAGTGAACTCTTCATATATATATATATATATATATATATATATATATATATGACAGAATAAAGTCGATTTCAATTCTCAGACATTTGGATTGGATCAAGAACCACTGGTCAAAGGTTGGAAAAAATGGAGTTGGCTGATAGCCAAGGCGAACCAACGGAGTTATTTGATGCTGTCATTTGACTGACTGTCTGTTCATATAAACGCATGCTTCGTACGGTCAGCGGTTTATACTCATCGACTCTGGTTGTCCTGATAGTACATGGTAGACGGGTTTCACAGCTGTCAAAGTGTTCGGAGGATCTTCGTATCGTATGGAGATTGAAACTGAACTAGTTATGCGGACTACACCTACCTGATGAGCCCCAAGAAGGGCGAAACCGGTCGTGGGCTGTCGAAGAGTTTTCAGCAACCTTGTGAGTAATTTCCTTTATGGAACTAGTTATGGTTCACTGTTGCCTTCTCTGTGAAATATTCGGAAATCATTCAGACCTACGATAGGATGGCCGTCCGGTAGTCCGACCAATTCCCACAGAAAGAGACAAACACATCAAAATGTTCCGAAAAAAGAAGTGTCCTTCAGTTCATGTTTGGCGAGCGATCGGTTTGTGGAGGGCGTATAAATGACCTGAGAGAGAGATGCCGTCACGAAGAGACTGGACCTTACCGTGGTGTGACGGTTTGCGCACCTCATCGACTCATTGAGCGATACTGGAGGGTGTACTCGCAACATTCACAGAGTCTCTCATACCAGGTTGGTCAATGGCTTAGGTCTGGCCCAACACAGTCTCCTGGTCCTCTAGATTGGGGGTTGGAACATGTGGCGACTTGTTCCGTAGAAATGGTAATACATTTGCATTTCCCGCCAAACACCGCTGCCTTGTGGTTGGTTGAGGACCCTAATCGTCCTCCTGTTTAGGTGTGGGCGCCCTGACAGTACATCAACTCACGTACATACGGCAGTGAAGCGTCGGTGTTGAACACTAATGTCATGCTGTCGATGATGACGAGAGAAAACTTACTGAGAGGCTTTTTGGAGCTTTGTTTCCAGTGGCTCGTTGACCGGACCACATGTGAAAGACAGATGTAAATAAAAACAACTTCCAATTTGAGCAGCCCAATCAAAATGTCCAGCTTAATAAACTTAGTTAATGTCCCGTTTTACTGTGTTTGTGAAAAATTCCCATCCCGCTGGTATAGTCTCATTAAGACGAATCTTTCCGCATCTAACCATTGCATCGTATTTCGTTTTAATTTGACAGTTACGAAGTGTGTATCATTCAGTCTACGTAGGCATGCGGAAAACATCCCATTGGCCTACCTAAGTCTGGTGAACGTGTGCTTGTAATTAGAAGCTTTCGATGGAAAATACAATCTGGTGAGCATTATTCATAACGTCTTCGCACGTGTTCCTTGTTCGGAAGCTGGAAGTAACAACACGCACTGCCTCCTTACTTATAGAGTGGGAATGCACAATCCCACCTGCTGTCAATCAATCATCAATCATTCAGCTTTAGCACCTTTTCGGTGCTTAGCTGCCAGCCACACAAAGGAAGCACGAGGACTGGGATACTGCCAGGTTGCCCAAGCCTAGACAGGGGAGGTGAAGTGGCAGAGGTCGGGTTCGAACCACAGACCTTCCGATCAGTAAATTCGCGCTCTAAGCACTTGGTCCATTTCGTCCTGCTGTCCTAATGAATGTTTTTGATTGTCAATAAAGACAAGACTCAGAAGCCTGCTTTCACTTTTTATCTCTCGTTTCCGTATGTGGAAGAACCTTTAAACACAATAGGTGCCACACTAGTTGGAGCGGCAGTGTTCAAACTTCACATTAATTCGGAAAGTACTACAGAACACATAGGCAAAAAAACTGTGCTTTGCTCAGGGAAGGATACCTATGGAGAACAGACCGATCCCGTCGCACAGGGACTTTCCCTGCGGAAAGACTAATACCTGACTGATGAGGTGAAGTCACCACCTCTCAGCTTTCCACCTGTTGCTCGTATAAGAACGATGCCAGACGAACCCTGACCTCTGCCTCTGGACTTCCCCTGTCTAGGCTTGGGCAACCTAGCAGGATTCCAGCCCTCGTGCCTCCTTCAGGTGGCATGGCAGCTAGGCACCGGAAGGGTGCTACAGCTGAACGAGAAAGAAGAGAGACCAGACAAACCACACACCAGGTATTGAAAGGTATGTGGCTAGTACTACAGAGAGACTTTGGAGTGACGAAGTACCTGGCAAAGAAGAATTCCACCCAATGAAGTACGAATTAGGACAAACAAAAATGAGGGTACATCCAACTAAGCGGTTGCCATATTCTGCATCCTTTATCAAGGAGTTCAAATGAGAGGTCAAACTTACTCGCCATCCGGTTGCCGGCTAAGCTGAAGAACAAACTGTAGATTTGAGTGAGACAGATATTTGGCTCGTTCAGATGCTTTAGAACAAGATGCAGGATGCGGAGCCTCGGGAGCCTCAAGTTCATCGCTCATACACCACTGTAGCCGTACCGAGGTGGCGGTGAGCATCGTGGGTGCCATGAAACGAGGAGGACCCGGACAGAGAGGGAGCGTAGTAAATGACAGACTTGCTGAGAAGGGTCCATAGCCAAGCGCGTTAAGCGCACGCACGCGAACTCTGTTCATTAGGGGAGATTGAAAAAAAGTATGAAATCGTCAGTTTCTATATCGTGGTGTAGAAAAGCAACCAACCAAGTGGGATAGGGACGATGACAAGAATAGAATAGTTCAGCGTCTCCCTTTTGAGCTCGCTAAATGTAACACAATTCACAACATAAAAGTGATGTAAGCGCACTGCTGTCCCTGTTCCAAACAACCTGATTGAAATACTTCTACCAATCCGTTTGCAGCTGCAAGACGAATGCATGTCAGGACAGCTGTTTAAGACCGACAGGCGAAGGATACTACTTAGAAACCCGTGTTCTTGTAAGGAAAACCTATGTAAACCACTAACTGAGCTCGAGATAGCTAAGTGCTTAAGGCGCGAACCCACTGACTGGAAGGTGTATGGTTCGAAGTCGACCTCGGCGTCTCGGCTGCTCCTGTCTGGGTGGGTGGTCGACCTCAGAATAGCATTTCGGTTAGCAAAAATGGAACGGATGGAAGAATTACTGGATTGGATCTATTTGGTTGTGCAATTCCCACCGGAAGTCACATTACTTTGGCCAAAGCGACCTTCAGCTTTTCAGCTGATCGTTGTGTACGACTGACGGCACATTCGACCGCATAATTCTATCGACTGAACTATCGAAGACGCTGGTTCATTAGCACACGGTTCAGACAACAGCCCACAAGCGTCAAGGAACCAGAAGAAACGAAGGAGAAAGCAAGATAAGGTGGTACAGAGCAAGCGAACGTCCATATTGGTGTGTTCCTACGCCCGTCCAGCTAATATTCTAAAAACAAGTGCCACCACGCTCACTCGGCGGATGAGATGAAGATCACTTCCAAACAACAAAATGTGCTTTCGACCAACTAGTCAGATTTAAACCAACAAAAGTTTTGAACGGTCCGATTCCTTCCACTGTACACACCCGTCTGACTTCACAGTGACGTGATTCAAATAAATTCAAGAGCTTGGATGCTCGTAAAACTGGTCAGTCAGCTTTTTTGAAACAAGGGATCCTTCGAAATTTTCACCCCGCACAGTAGCTAGTGAAAGTTAAGACTTCAAATTGCAGATTTGACGCTACCTGTTGCGGGATTCGGACGAAATATAGTGAATGTGTTCTCTGCACAATCAATTCGATTGCAGTTTATCAACCATAAACCTCACATTGGTTCCAGCCGATACAGTTTGCATCACCGAAAAGTGGGAGAGAGCGGGACATACAGTCAAGCGTTGGTGGGACTGGGTAAAAAAATCGTTCAGCTGTGGTACCCTTTCGGTGCCTAACTGCCATGCCACCTGAAGGTTGCACGAGGGCTGGGATACTGTCAGGTTGCTCAAGCCTAGATAGGCGAAGTCGAGAGGCAAGGAGGGGGTTCGAACCTTGGGCCTTCCGTTCAGGGTGGAACTGGGTAGCTACACATTGAACGCAATAGCTTTGACGCGCGAGTTCCTGCTTGGCAAACCAACCCCTTACGAACAAGTAATTCATTAATACACACACGGAATACCGGAAGACAGAAGCCACCGCTCGTCTCATCCTTGGCTCAGATATTGAGAAGTGGTGTGCGGTCAAACCGATCAAGCTGAGATGGAAGTCGGAAGATTGTACAAATAAATGCTGTACGACTGACGGTGTAACGGTGATACTACTGGTGGGGAGGCATGCGAGTAGTATGTTGTCTTGTAAATTCGCTTTCAACGGCAGCGTTCCTACAGAACACTTTTGTTTTCTAGTGAGATCTGCCAGGGCTACAGTCATAAATAATAACTACTATTCAAGTCCCAAGGTAGAATATTTTTCGGAACCAGCCGTGGTTGTCTGCATTGAAAGAGCGTCTATTCTCAGAAGCAACGGATCTAGAAAGTCGATAGACTAGGTAAGTGCGATTCATCTTTCAACAAGTGAGTCCATCAGCAACCAGCAAAGGCTCCTTCTAAGAAGGATTACCCAATTCCGGGAGCCCTTTTCGGGTAGTCTCGCGATGAGACGCATCTGAAGGAAGCTATGTTCTCTAAAGGAATGGTCTCTTTGCGGAGAAGCCCCTCCCTCTTTCACATCAGATGACAGCCGAAAAAATTATGCAAACAGAGCCATGTGAAGGTACGCCCTTTACCACATATGAAACCGAGAGTCCGTACAAAAGTCGCTGCTGACAGAGCTGCTAGGCACTGGTCAGATGAAAAAACTACACCGTGCGGTCCCAAATACAACCGATATAAGCCCAGTGGATTTCAGGTTCAGTTGAAACCCCACTAATTTGGAGCGATACAGATACGAGTGCACATATCGGAATCTCTGTAGATTTAGAAGTGACGCATTATATCTTCGGAGACCTATCATAAACAGTTCACTATCGATGAATGCATGGGTAAGATGAAAGAAACAAAACTCAATATAGCTTCAGGACCAATATCACCAGATAGTAGGCATAAAAGGGGCATATATGGCCACCAGTGTCTAAACTCGATACGTCGAAATTTCGTACAAACCAAAGGACAGCAAAGATTGACTAATGACACCGGATTCAACTTGTACGCCATGATTAACCATAGGGTCATCTGCAATGGACGCGCAAAGGTCGGTCCAATGGTCCTAGATGACAACGTGATGAATCAGCCTATAGTTGTATCTTCTAAACTTCGATGAAATATGAATTGATCATAACTATGCTGAGATAATTTTGCGGTAGTCCCTGCAGCTATTTTATTACTTATGAGTAGACTGCTGCATGCACAAACTGATTCACCGTTGTCAATGCGGTTCTGGTAACTAGAATGCCATAGTACAGTGTCGGCGTACAACAAAAAACACCAAAATCACTCCTTCTTCGAGGAAAACGGCTGATACACACATCTGATAGGCATGTGAAAACTAACTTGTAGCTCGTGTCTGGAACTAGGTGATCAAGGCGATGTTCGACTACAGAGAGGTGGGAACGCAAGCTCTCCTCCAAATCTGTGAGTTGCAGTGCCAGTGTGGAACTGGTTGTATCGGGTACTGGTGCAGGAATATCGAATACTGTTATCGCCGGTGACGAGGTATCGGCATCGAATGATTCATTCACGGTTGACAATTCGATGGTGAAACCTAGATGACAAAATTGGAAGTATGGTGAAGTGATAACCGGGTGCAGGCTGTGTTGATAAAATAATAATAATAATGATAATGATGGAAACTGAGTTAAAGATGTGTTTAGCTCAGCTGCGTCTGTTCCATATATGGTCACTGGAAAACTGTCCCAAATCTGCTGAGTTCGGCGGCTTTCGACTAAATTCCGCCCAGCTCCACAGCTAATCAGTGGTACTCGTAAATTTCAAAGCTGACATTGCGACTAGCCAAAATATTAGCTGTTGCTTGGTCTGTCCTGATTCGATTTGATTGGGTACCGGTCACAATATACTATAAGCATGATCTTATATTGCAACAGAAGATGAACCCCTCTGGTAATGAGAAACTTTAGTTACAGTTCAAACGCATCAGGTAAACATAATACGATTATATATATATATATATATATATAATTCGCAAGGAAGTTACACAGCAAAAGTATCGAAAAGATGGAGGGGCACACAAAGTACGTAACTCGGGCTTGAACAATTGACAATTGGTGGAACGTCGTGTCTGACGGCCTGGCTGTTGAATCGACTGGAAAAAACTCTGAAGATCTGTAGGACGGTTCTGATCATCTGGACATGTCAGTGTTAGGTATGGGATCGGGAGTTCCGATCACGTCTACCGAAAATAGGTGAATTTCAACTAAAGACCGCTAAAAGGAAAGTAGTTGAATGCATTTCCCCAAAGCCTTTTAAAGTTGATTGCAACAACCAAGTGAGAAAGTCTGGACTGATACTTTGTTTGACACATACACACCGTATACCAGCTACGTACGGCTTCGAAAAGTTGCGATATCAACTAGGACTGAAAGTCCCGTGAAGTGACGAAGTCGCACAGTACATCCTTCCAATCGGGGAATTCCTCCTAAACAGGAAGGTTGGTCGAGACCATACTATGGAGACTCCTTTCTATGGAAGAAGCCCTCCAGAACCGAAGGCAAGAGATTCTGCGATCCCCTAAGTGATTGACATAATCTCTAAGGTGAGACACACAAATGAGAATTTTCTATGACCCAGATTCATTGGTTGGCTAATGAAATCAATAAATTACGTCTCAGGTATGACATACGTTAACGCGTCGCATTAGCGAACTCTTGGACTCGGCTTCAAATGGATGATAAGCTAGTTTAGACACACACACAACATTGTTTGCTGGGACATTTTGTAACCGATTGAAACCTATACAACTCAAGTCTAGAATATCATTTCAAGAGGACTTCTCGAAACTCAAAAGGAAATTGGAAATCGCACCGCACTCCAGTAGTTCGAAGGTCTCTTCGTAACAAAAACAGGTATCTTCGCAGTGAACTATTGTGGTTAACGATTGCTAGTTAGGTTCATCCAGACGAAAAAGGTATTAGTTCCAAATTACGCAGATAATGCCACCATTATACTGGATTACCACGCTATGTTAGAGGGGTATTCAAGAACCATGAATTCACTAAAAGCGAGACGGAAACTCGATACGCCTGCTTACACGTTTGATGAATGTAAGAGGGACTATGGCTAAGAAGTGTCCGAAATTGCATGATTTTGTACGTTCGGATGGTTGGGCGGAACAAACGTCAAACAAGAAAATATCGGGGCGTATGTGGAGGCCCGGTCATGCTGTAGCAGGCAACACAATAAAGTCTGATTAGGCTTTTGAAGAAACGTATTATAAACCTGCCTTGTCACATGAATAGCTCGAATTTTCTTGGCACAGCAAAGTGAACAGAAAGGTGATCTTGGGCGTATTCATCGTTCTCTTATTGGATTGGCTGTCGAAACGAGGTCTCGACCACTGCCTGTACCTGGTACTGCGGCACACGATGAAATTCATCACTTACTCAAATAGACCATCCAGGATCAACAAGCATACGACTGCTACGATATCAGACGCCGTCGACTGTGCCCTGTGATTTTGATAAATGATTCAACTTAAGCTAAAGTTCGCAGTTTCCATCAAAAAGTAGTTTGAGGTATCAAACATTCACCACGCGAAATCCTGGGTTTCCTTTTTGGAGTCCTGCCGTGCCTGTTCTGGCGTATTTAGATAGCCAGACTGATGAATGCAGAACCTGCACCTAAGTCTCCGTCATGTTTTACACCAGTGAGCGGTCAACCATGCTCCAGTGAAGATGAGAACATGCGGTAGGTCTAATAGACCTGCTTTCTCCCTCAGCAGCGTTACGGAAACCGGCGTTCTTCTGTGGCGTGTACTGGCCAGCCATTCCATCCCTGGTTCGAACCTTGGTCTTCAGTACATCCTAAAGTCATAAATACGTCTCTTTGTACCTGAGAACAAAACTCCAGAACGGTGAGTAACTGACAGAGATCATTTGGCTTGATGAATCAGTGGAAAGTCATAAGCAAATAGGTGTGAATGAGTTGGTACAATATATAAGTTGCATAATTGAAACACTGTTACCAGGAGATAAGCGACTTCTTAGGCGTTTTTTTTTTCGTTTTTTTTTAATGCGAACACGTACAGTCCAAAGTACAACCACAACAGCAGGTGCCAGTCGCTGCAACGTCACAGTAAGAACAAAGTTGAAATTGAGTGCTGCACCAATACCATTAGAAGTGAACAGGTTCCGTAAGGGCAGGTAAAGATAGTCACAAGGCAACAAGATATCACTGCTGGTCTAAGCCGATGTCAACTTGAGGAAGGTGTTCAGGTGAACAACTGCGAGCTCAGTGATTAGGTCTTATGTCTTTCAACTCGGCACTTATGAGGCCCTTGCTACAAAGGGGGAGGTTTGTCCCCATTACGTTGGCTTGCCAGTAACGTGGAAAGTCTTCCTGACCGAACCAGAGGCTTCCAAGGGGACATGTTCGCCTGAGAATGTGAGCCAATCACCTGGATTGCCGGAGCTTATGTCGGACAATGGGGCTCATACAGCTTGTGGTGTTGAATAAAAAGACCCAAGGAGACTGCCTTTGGTCTCGAATTAACGGCACATCCGTGTTCGAAATAGGCTAGCGTTCGACCCTACCCATTTGGCATCAGGAATGCGTACCTAAGAGACCTACTAGGTTGTTGAACATCCTGGATCCTCATAGCTGGAGAGAGAAATAGGTTGTTATGCCAAAGTCCTTGCATTTTCCGATTTCTAGGGAAAATGCATCGCTGTCGGGAAGTAGAAAGGTCGAAATCACCGAGATTCTCTGGCGACTTTTAAGGGTTCTTGGATTTTGCCCATCAATTCGATGATGAAGTTCATATGACCGGGAGAAAGTGGTCCCTTTGGGAAGGGAGTTCTCTGATCGGAAGGACAAACTTGTGGCTGATGGAGAGATCTTTTCGTATTTACCTGTGGTATCAGTTCTGAGTGAGAAACCGGATACTCGAGGTTGTGACCTTGCTGTTACTATGGGAGCATAAAAGCGGCTAGACGAAGCAGTTAAAAAGGTTCTTAGTTGAATTACCCATGTTCAACTTTCGTAAGCAACTAAGAACATGACGGTTGTATCAAACTACATTACTTTAAAACACCTGTTGGTTACTGGTGTTTATTGAGTAGAGTTCAAATCAAACAAATTAACCGAATGCCGCGGTGTGGCATTCTGCGAACAGATTGTCACAATCAGACCACGATAAAACGGAGATGCTTACTTGTAATGGGACTACCGTTGGGCTGTGGCATAGCCCACTGAACTTGTACTGAATGAGGAAGACATTGTTTGATACGTAGTCCGCTGGGTTGACCAGGGACAGTGGATGGCGTAATGCAGACACCGACTGGACTCCAAGCTCCCGGTCCAGCTGAATTCAACGCGCAAACGCGAAAAGCAAGTCTGCTGGCAGGTTGAACACCATGTAACTCATAAGTGAGTTCGGGTCCAGTGTACAACTAGATGGAAAGGAGAAAGTCAAAATAGGAGTGAGTAGAGTATTAACAAAGAGGCCTTTCGAGTGAACATATTTTATTTAAAATACGTACCAATTGGAAGTTGGAATCCCGATCGCTATGATTGGGAGACCCAGTGGGAGGCATGCTCGACTTCCGGTCGACTGAATGAACTTGAGATGGTAAGGTAGTGACATGATAGGAGAGGAGAGATGGGAGAGGTTGCCATTCAAGCCAATATTCCGTCACTTTGGAACCGTTTGTTCGAGACACCGGATCCCAGGAGATATGAACAGCGGTGGCCGTGCGAGGCTGCAATCTCGGTGGTCGAGAAGGAGCTCCAGGAGGACTGGCGGCGGTCGATATATTGGCCCAAGGAGACCATGGACCACGTCCTATCAGATTACAAGCACGTATGCGGAAGGCGTAGGACCGACCAGGACGCAGGCCATTCACCCGACATTCCAAACCTGAGACTGAACATACAAGGCGACCCTGTGCGGACATAGGATTGTTGAAGCCCAGCTTGCGATTACTCAGACAGCAGTTGCAACAACAGCAACAGTCCACGCGTTTGGAGAGGACAGAATCTAGACTAGAGCAACGTTCGGGACCTGACTTATTTGGAGCATCTTCATATCCATCCAATTCCATATCACCACGACCCTCCATCGCACTGCATTCCGAAACCGACCGGCTGTGTTGGTGCCGAAACGGTGATACCCGTGACTGAGATTCGGCATCGGATTCATCACTCGTGCACCTTGGGGAGGATAGATCCATCTGCCAAACCTGAAAAATCAGAACGAGTGAAAAAGGTGACTGGAAGGCTTAAGCAAATTGAAAATAAGCTCACTCAGTTTTATTGGGACAACGAACTCCGTGACACTTACTAGTAATAAGCGACTCGGTTATTTCGTAAAATTGTTACTTTGGACATCCACAGTCATTTTGGTTTCTCACACCGGTCTATCCTCGAACACATACGCTTGTGAATTCAAATTCCACAGGTTGGAGTTCTTGATCGGATGGATAATGAGGGGCCAACCAAAGCTCCCGGAGATTCAAACATAGGACATGTCAAGGCGAAAGATGTCGAACTGACTCAATGTGGAGGTTCGATAAGAAAGATTATGTGGTTTCTGAGTAATGGTCGCCCGCTACACCCAAGGTGGGATGATATCATCGCACCCATCAGTTGCAGGCGGAATAATTCCACCCAACCCCACAACTCGAAGCACGTGCATCACCGCGAACACGATTGGTGGACGGTGTACATTAAAACCACAGTGTTACCCATTTGACAGTCTGTTTCTGAGTGTACATGTACCGAGTCTTACCAGCGACATCACAACAAACAGCACATTTAGGTTAGTCGTCCGACTTTTATTACAGTCGTACACTAATCCGACGACAAAATCCTCATTACAATGGGAAACTCTCAAGATCGAACCAGAGGGCACTGGACAAGTTGACAAGTTCGCAGGGAAGTGTATATCGCCGACCGGACGACTCGTGCGATCTGTCTGCATTTTTACATTACGTCCGTCTTCGGACGAACTACGAATTTGGTAGATTTTGTTCGGAAGTGAGTTCGTTTGCGGAAGTAGAAGTGCCAGCTCGAGGACAATCTTGGGGAGGTCACTCGATCCTGATTCGATGATTCCGATCGTCACGCTTAGAGCAGGGATTTACAACTCCGCACTATTGAGGAATGGTTTAAACAGCACGTTCGAATGATGGATTTCGCCAATAAACCAACAAGAAGCCGGATTCGTGTTGGATTTACGGGAGGTAAGTCTGCATAGGTTGACTTGGCGGAAAAGTTTAGTGGGGTCGCTGCTACGAGGTACACTGAAGACTGGGACGAGTGCATGTAGCCTCTTCAGGAGGTTCAGAGTGACATTACAACCTTGAAGCGCATAGATCGAGAGGAGTTTTGTCCCCATTGATTACGAAAGGGTTCGCCGCAGAAATTAGGACTTCTATTGGTCTGCGTGAGTTTGGCTTTTGTTCGTCAGCAGTGAATCATACGACATTTCGGAAGCTTCGTGTGGGAATTGGTTAGGGGAATAAACGTTGGAACCGCTTCGGCCAGTTCAGATACTGCTCGGACGACTGTCACGGAAGAGGTGTCAGCCTGTATTGTTGAACAGGTCAATTTCGAATGTGAAAAAGAAATATGGGCCTGCATAAAGAGAAAAACTCACTTCATAAGCAACAATGGGAGATCCACCAGTGTTCTTTGGTGATTGCCAGCTCAGGTGGAGTGATGTAGGACCAGCTTGGCCCACAAGCCGAGGAGGAAAACTTGGAGCTGGTGGGGGAACAGGAGGGAGAGAAACCTCGAGAGGAGGTGAAGAGGCCATACCCCAAAGGTCTCGAAAACTAGGTATATAGCCCGCAGACAGACCAGCTGTTTTCGACGCATAACTCGAACGTGCACGAACACGGAACCAAAGCCGGAGCCCAGGGACTAAATTCTCAATGGTCACTGCTGAGCCGGGGCCTTCATAAACCACAAACCAACCGAAGTGGACGGAGCCTGTAGAGAGGGAAGGTTGACTGACCAGCGAAGAGTAGTCGGGTACCGGAGAATCTGCATCCTCGAGTGGACCATTGCATGTATCAAGCAAACGTGGCGGAGATGCACTTTCTCCAGATGGAGTACGCCGTGGACCAACATTAGAAGAACGAGTGTTTCCATATCTCTGAGGAGGTGAATCACCATCATTCGTTGGGGAGACCAAACGCGGCATAATTGGAAGAGAACCACCGACACACGGAGGAAGGGAACCGAAACTCGTCTTTCCAGGTAAACCTGTGAGATAGGGAAACGGACAGAATAGATTAAGGAAAATGTAAACGGGCAATGAGACCAACGTCACAGTGAACAAGGGTTTCGGAAACTAATTGCTTTGATTATTGGGTGTGTTACGCCATTCAAATTTCATGCCTTTACTTACGTTAGCCATGGGAGTTCAATCGACTTCCCTCATACGTTCGCGTGCTACTAAGCCATTCAAATATCGATCGAGGATGACAGAAAGCCAATCTTCCGTTTGAGTTAATGTCGATAAACTCATGGAATAGACGGGGCCTAACTTTTCGCTTTCGAAACGTAACCGGAAGAATCAAGTTGTTCATACACTTCGCAAACAAACCATCAAACAAGAGTTCAAATGGGTAACGGAAAATAACTAAAGATGCATTTCATATTCCCCGAATTTGATGAACACATGTTGGAGATCCCAAGGAAACTACACGGCAAAAGGAACAATGAGTAAAACGAATGATTTGAATGCAAATAGTGTATCAACAATCGAAAATATAGATAATGATTTGTGACACTGATTCATGACTGATCGATTGATGACTGGATTCAAAGCGGTAGAACCAGGTCAATCAACTCGAAACATTTAGCCCCATGTAAACAACGAAAGAAATGGTTCATCAGCTGATCGATCCACAAGCAGAAAAGTGCGCATATCTGAGTGTGGCGAAAACAACAATAAGTTGGTCTGCATGTGAGAAATCATTGGCTCCAAATATCGGAACAAGAATGCGAAATTGGGTAAAAGGATCAATTTCGACGAACACTCATTTGCACGCAAGTTTGGTTTTGACAGGAGACCCAACTGAATCCAGCTGAATTTCTCGTCTATGATGGCTCACAGTCGAAGACCGTTCACCAACCGTGTGACTAACGTGTTAGATTTAGAGAAGGGGGCAGAGTTAAGCATTCTCCCTCGAACAATCTTTCGTGGAAAAAAGCCGACACAGAAACAAGTGTCCTCTTATAGACAATCAAACAAAATATGGGCGAATCTAAGTTGTACCTATGGAATTCGAGAGGCAGTCGACTCTCACGTTTCCGAGGTTTGCCAGAAATCGCATGGGAGGTTTTTGGACACTAAGCATACAGGTGAAAGGAAGAAGGCCTTCGCTGCGGAGTTATTTATTCGGAAATGCCAACTGACCGGTTACAGACCATTGAACAAGGAAGCAAAACTCTAATCTGCATCTTAGTTACAAAACCTGGACACAGGTCTTCTCCCGAACGAGTCTTCCTGGGGATTCATTGCCTCCAGTCATTCGTCGGTTAAATAAAAGCAAATGTTACAAAGTGGCCCCGCGAATTCCGCAACAGAATTCCATTTTTCAATCGACGCAAAGCGAAATTCTACGAACAACACATACTACTCGCGCGCCTCCCGATCAGTAGTATAACCGTTACACCGGTAACTGCCCAACCAATCCAACATACGGCCTTCGAAGTTCCTCAACAGAACATGGCATACAGTTGGGTTGCCTTGTTGGAAGAGTGAGTACGGAGAACACGGTGTTCCCAAGTTTTCAGTCTACACTCGTGTACCAACAGCTAGGAATCTTTAGAATGTTATATAATCACTAGACCATGAAGTGGCACCCGGCGGACGCGATGTTTTAGAATTTGTGGACATAACCTGTGGCAGTGAAATCTGTGCCGAATCGAAGTACTTCACCCTCATTCAGGCGAGATGGCCCAAGTGGTTAGAGCGCGAATTTACTGATCGGAAGGTCCTTGGTCCGAAACCGACGTCTACCTCTCGACTTCCCTGTCTAGGCATGGGCAACCTGGCAGTATCCCCGTCCGCATGACCAAAAGGGTGCTAGAGGTGAACGAATTTTTTAAAACACAAATCGTACAAGCAGACCAACAGATTGGCCACAGGCTACTCAAGCAGTGGCACACATGTTCCCGGAGCACCTTGAGTCTGTGATTTTGTCGTGACTTCCTGAAAATCTCAACGCTCATTTAAACAGCTCATTTAAACTGAGAGTGGTCGAAACAAAATCCATTCTGTCGCTGTCACTGGGAGGCAGTCAAGGGTGTTTGTATAGCAAAACAATACAAAGGACTTATCAAATAGGAGAGCAAGAAAAGAATGTCACGGTCAGCCTTCACCCATTCTACACACACCCGGGTCAGTGTGAATCGAAGAAGATGAGATTAAGTGAGTTCTTATCAGCTGACTCCGAAAATGAGCCCCTGACAAAACCTACTCATGACGATCGAGAAACTGAGCACTCACATCGGTTGCTGCATACAACTCAACAAAGTTGCAGGAACCGATGTGTCAACAGAAAAAAATTTCTCGACGGGTACACCAAACTCAGTCAATTTGGCAAAATCCATTGGAAGCAATTGAGCAGTAACCGCATACGGCCCATAAGGTGTCCCGTTAAAGCGACAGGCGCGTAGTCAATCAGGACAGATCCAGACTACATGCCTAGCCTGCATGTGTTACACGAACGTATTGATGATGGGCGTAAGGATTGATTATCCTGCATTAGCAAAATTTCCACAAAGCATTATCCAAACTGGCCGGAACTCTCATGAAAGCCCGGGAATGGTATTATCATAACTATCCATCTGTAATACCCTTCTACCGCCCAGTTGCCTTACCATCCAACAGAAGCGCAAGGGCTTAGATGGTGTCAGGTCGCTTAAGCCTAGGCAGAAGCAGTCGAGAAGCTGAGGAGGTCGGGTTAGAACTACGGACCATGCGGTCAGTAGGTTCGCGTACGAACCACTGACTATGGATCTTGAGGCGCCGTCACTAAGACCGAAATTCTACCACCCACTTCTTAGAGATGATGAACTGCCGATTGTGGTAAAATGTGAAAATAAAAATCTATGACGATTAGACTAGTAACAAAATAATAATGGTAATCGTTCAGCTGTAGCACCCTTTCGGCGCCTAACTGCCATGCCACCCGAAGGGGTGACACGAGGGCTGGGATACTGCCAGGTTGCCCAACCCTAGAGAGGGGAAGTCGAGAGGCAGAAATCGGGATCAAACCACGGACCTTTCGGTCAGTAAATTTGCGCTCTAACCATCTTGCCCCAAACCAGGATGGCTAATCTAGAGTAATTCAACTTTGATCTGGTTAACTGGTTAACCAATCAGTAGACACACATTAAGATGACACATCAAAAACGTGTCACCAAGATTCAGTAGCATGTCGTAAAAACACGAAATAACGTATAGCTGATGAGGTTTGACGTTAAATGAGGATGACTTACTGGAAATACTGACACAAATGCTGCGAATTCGGCCAAGAGACTAAATACAACCAGCTGAGGAACTAATCAACTGTCTGAAACGACTGAAGGAATACTAATTGCAAGAATTGAACCTACGGGTCTCAGGAATGTAGAGTAAAAAAGACGTCCCGTTCCCCATGATCAGCAATTTTGGGAACCAATCGTCAACGATTATGCCCATACACAGTCTGCGTGACAATTTAGAATCCGGGGAATCCGTTAAAAACGTTAATGTTGCTTTAAAATTCATATGTTCCATCTCCATTCACAAAGACTAGAAATTCTTCCCACAAGGACACTGATTCATACTCTCTATCCTCACTGTTCAATGGAGGGGATTATCCCTACGCTGTACATTTAATGTACAAATCCAATTTAGATCAACATTTCATCGACGAATCATTGTAGCTGTCCTGGGCTGTCTGCTTGGTCATCTGCTGAGTTTAAGGAAAAGCTTGGACGTGATGGGATTCAGCGCACACATTTCTATCGATGATATGTAGATGGCATTGTAATTCCTGTATCAATTCCGTAATGAATTCCCAGCTTCTAAGAAAACTATAGCGTAAGGTCAAGAGGAGTGACAGGCCTGGGACAGTAACACGGTCGGTCAATAACTGTTTGAATACGGTTCAGAGCCTGGGGGTCTGTCGTCCCAGTATTTCACAGTATATAATTGAAGGTCATTCAATCAGCAAGCTTCATCTGATTTAGTCAGCAGTGGAGACCAATAAGGGGACACTGCGAACAAACAAAGGCCGCTGAGGAACCAATCACAATCACAATCACGAGTCCAAACAACCAATGAAGGGATCGTAACAGCATTCAGGATTATTGTTCGTACATCCCTCGTACCTCCTTCCGGTGGCATGGCAGTTAGGCACCGAAGGGGTGTTACAGCTGAACGATTCTTTTACGCATCAAAACGCAGTGATTTTCTTAATGAAATGGCTTTCGGGAGCCAACCGAAGCCTTTTCTCATCGGTTTCTAAGATCACAAGAAACTTGACATTTAGTTCAATTCTGAAGCGAACAATTCGTTCCACTCTTTACGAGTTGCCAACGATTCTGTTGCAGAAATCTGTTTGCAAGAAGCGCACATGGACAAGGAAACACATGAACTTCAATAGTTTTGTGCCAGTGAGGCGCAAAGCATCACCGATACACACCTTAGCAAGGCGAGTCGGAGGGATCCGTTCAGACGATGCAGTATAAGCTAAACTAAAGTGCGGAGAGCTAATGAATACCGGAACAGAACCATGATCAAGAATGTGGCTCCCGGACCCGTTAAACAAACCATAACACCCGTCGCTAAGAGATCGGTCTATTTGAGCTCACCACGAAGGCGCAACCTGTTGGTAGACACAATCGTTCGCAGTACCTCCCAATCTTTACGGAGAGCTTCTTCGGCCCGAGAAGACGCTTGTGCAGCCCAGTAACTTGAAGAATACTATAAACGGGAGATTTAGCCCGGATCCGATTGAATCTCCCGTTAAAACGAACCGAATTAGTGCACTTCGCCACTTCTATACAACTACAACGCAAGGGGCTATCGGAAACTAGGGTCCTACGACGAACTGATCGGTTCTCCGAGGAGAGCGGAACCGGTAGGGGGTTGTGGATACATGTTCAGCTGTCTTGTGTGAATAGGAGAGAAGAATTCAACTGTCAAAAATCACCTGTAGCATGAGGCCAACAGAACAGTGATTCGCTAGTGATCCCGGGTGAGGTAGGATCGACATCCAGAGGAGCAGTGGGGTCCAGCGCAGCTGGTGTGTTTTTCAAAGCAACTATGACGCCTTTCGACGGAAGCACGTACGGCAAGCGAATTTCCAGTCGGTAGGCATTAACGCTGAGGCCACCATCATCTTCGGGTGGATCCCAGGCCAGATCCAGGCGAGTTGGTTGAACCAGGCTTGTAAACTGTGAAAAGGGAAGGAACAGTGGTGACCAGATGAAAAGATCATAAAAAAACAGGCCTAATTGTGACGACGAAACACATTCCTTTCAATCCAAAAACCGACTGTTTTCCTAGTGAAACGCTTGTATAGAACATGCGATTCCGGGAGCGGCTAAGGCGGGGCACCTAAGCGGAATAGTTACTGCAATGGGAAGTGAAACCCTAGGTGCACGAAAAAAGTTCTCATACATAATTTTGCGATGCACTACTCATAAAGTCGCTGAAAACTCCCCGAAAGCCCACGACCGGTTTCGCCCATTTTGGGGCCTGGAAACATCAAAACCGAGAGATTCAGCTGGATTCCAGGTGAGTCTCTCGAAAAAGCAAATTAGTTTGCAAATGAGTGTATATTCGTTAGTCCCTCATATGGTCTTCAGATTTAGGTGGCCAAACCCTTAGCCAAGGACTTGACTGGATAGACCAAAATCGAAAGCTGTAGCGCGGCGTATTCTAGTGCAGCGATATCGTCCCACTGGAGAACGATCGCCAATATACCGGTTCGAGGTGCCACATCCGTACCAGCCAGACAGCCTTCATCGTGTTATTAGAAAAGACACTGTCCACAAGCATCATCGATCGATGAAATGGAGTTGTCCACTTAAGTGCTTATAAACCAAGCCAGTTCGATGATAACGGACATTCAGACACAACTGTCTGCGTATGTGAATAGCTCGTATTAGTCTGCCAACGGATACGATTATGAAGACTGTTTTGGGCAATTGCACTGGATTGGAAGCTAGCCAAAAACACCGGCCTAACGGGTTTTCACACTAACTGATAGTTAAAAACGAATGAACCGATAATAGTGTTTCAAAGGGCATTCTGAGACTTTCATAAACGTGAACGTGATGCAAAATGATGGAGAAAAACAAGCTATCTAAACCCTACTTAGCGAACAAAGTTCACGTTGCAGTCAACATGCCCTCCCCCCTTTAAATGTTGAAGCAGACTTCATATATCCCAACCTGTAGATGGGAGAAACAGCGGAATGACCACTAGCCTGTTGTTCATCAGCTTTGATGCAGTCCATAAACCAGTCCATCACAACAGTCCCAGGACAATGTACTACAAATAAGGTTGCTGAAAATCCATCGACAGCCAACGACCGGTTTCGCCCTTCTTGGGGCTTATCAGGTAGGCGCAGTCCCCGGGTTTCCGTCAAGCTTATGTTCTACTTGAAAACAAATTGCACGAAATTAGCGAATAGACACTCATTTGCGAACTAATTTGGTTCATTCGAGAGACTCACCTGGAACCCAGCTGAATCTCTTGCTTGTGATGTTTCGCTAATCTCGTGTAATTTGGTTTCAAGTAAAACATAAGGTTGACAGAAATCCGGGGACTGCGTCTACCTGATGAGCCCCAAGGAGGGCGAAACCGGTCGTGAGTTGTCGGTGGATTTTCAGCAACCTTATGAGTAGTACATTACAAAGATATACATGTATCGCGATATTTCAAATATCGTAGCGACTGAAATATGAGGCGGCCTGGTGCAGCACATTCAGTTGCCTGAGAACATCATAAACGAGAGATTCAGCTGGGTTCCACGTGAGTCTCTCTCGAAAGCACCATATTAGTTTGCAAATGAGTGTATATTCGCTAAGTCCCAGGACAAATCGATGAGGGGATAAGTGAACTTAGGCCTCCATTGAACAGTCTTTTCTCAGGGAATGGCTGTCTGAATATAGGCTCACAAGAAATCCAGTTTTCTATACACCCAGAAGGTTGGCCTGGATGTGTTTCTCTTGAACAGTAGAAGTGCTGCCGTTCACAAATGATGGTAGCTGAGTGAGTATTTTCTCTTTGACTGCCAGCGTTCTGAAGATAAATTCCTGCCTGTAATATAACCTTACGAGTAGTTTTAACAGTCCTTTTACTACCTGAGCAGCGTTGCGGTCGGCAACATATTCGTTCCAAGTCCCATTCCACCTTTGCTGGATTTAACGACTAATTGACATGATACTAAGAGTAACAGTACAATGTAAATATGATATGATATAACATAGGGGAAAATGTTGGTAGCTCAGGTAGCGTTGGTTTGTTTGTCGAGCTGGGCAATTTGATTGCAAACGTTTCATCACCAATCGAGATGAAATTATCAGTGCGTTACTGTGGAGCGTAGTGGTGCGTAGCGGTGGGTTAGTAGTTGTGCGTTGAGTAGTGTTACATATGTGTTAATATACGTGCTGCTAGATGAGGATGACCTTTAATCGCGATTAGTTGCTCGGTCGTGTGGTTCCATTGGTTGCTCCGTCATCCTGTGTCCTCATTCGCCGATGCCAACGTGGCCTTTGAGCTTGGCATCCCCTGCCGTCGTGATCTGATCGACGCTAGATTGACCTTTGTCCTTTCAAGTCCCGGCTTGTGGCTTTCATTGATTGGACTCCAAAAAGTTCCTTGTTTCTTTGTTTGTGAATCCAATATTCGGTCCTCCTGGAGTGTTCTGATTGAGATGTTCGTCTTTTGCACTTAGGGGTGAGTAAATTGGATCCAATTCGATCGAATCTGCCGTGGAGTACCATGCTTCCAGAAATTCTCTTCCTTGTCTCCGTACGCCAAAGATTTTGTGTTTCCAAGATTGAATTTGTGGCCTTCTTGGTCCTCGCGTATGGATATCAAGGACAGGAGGTCATGTATTCTGACGGCCGCGTTATGTTACCTTATACGTGTGCATAATTCTTTCCCAGTTTGTCCTACGTAGAATTTGTTTCAGTTGATTTAGTATATCACATTGTTCTTCTTGGTTTTGTCTCGGTTGTCCTTCGGACTAGAGATTAATTTCCTTAGAATGACTTTCGGTATGTTGGCCACGAAGATTCTTTCTCGAGCCAATAATCTGGTTGCGAGTTCTGATATATTCTTTATGTAAGGTAGGACTACCCGTCTGGTGGCCTGTTCTTGCTGTTGTTGATACGTCTTCTTCAAGCTTCTCTTAATAAAACTCCGTGGATATCCATTGTTCTGGAACACTGAATAGATGGTTTTCCTCTTTCTTCCGTGGTTCTGTGGTGCTGCAGTGTGTCTCCGCCCTCTTGAACAAGATTTGGACGCAGCTCTTTTTGTGGTTTACTGGATGATTGCTGTTGTAGTTCAGTATTTGATCTGTATGAGTCTCCTTCCGGTTTCCAGAGTCCCATGCATCGTTTTGTTCACTAAAACTTCTAAGAATGATAGTCAATTGCTTCCGTACAGTTCGATTGTAAACTTCACATCTTCAAAAGTGGTGTTGAGTAGTTCATGTGCCTCGTGTACTGAACCCCGTTTCATGATGACAAAGGTGTCATTCACATAGCGGATCCAGAGCTTTGGATTGATGATCGGCAGCACCGCATGCTCTAACCTTTGCATGATCGCCTCAGCAATAAATCCTGATATTGGGCATCCTATTGGAGTTCCTTTCAGCTGTTGATATATTTGTCCATCGAAGGTAAAGTATGTATCTATGCAACAGTTTGCATATACTTTCCGATTTCATGGTTCCTGTCGTGTTTGGCTTATTCTGAAGCAGTTCTGCTACGGTTGCCTTGGGCATTGTCATTTCCATTGAGAAGATTGGTTTCGGGCTCGAATATGTGTATCAACATGTTCCTCAAAGAAAGCCGCACTATTTTGGTGATCACAGGACAACCTCCACTACAGTACGTTTGAGCTTCTGAACTGAAGGCTTTGGCTAGTCGTCCCCCCTTCTGGGTTTGGATGTTCTGGCAAGATGTCTGGAATAACATCTACGTGAAGCAAGTGACGGTTTCCACTAATGCTGCCATGATGATGATGACGACTTCTTCAGAAAGCTTGATTTTGAACTTAGACAACTGCAAAACATGCAGGAGATTCCGCAACCCCCCACAACAGAAACCCAATAGGTGACAATGGAACATCTAGACATGGAAATTCTTCCATTTCTGCTTAAGTTTGCTAGACAGAAGCACAGACGATAAGGGTTCGTGACCCCTGCACAAGGCCTTCCAGTGATCAATTTCCTAGGTGCCTGAATATGGGCGACAATATTGTGTAATGATAATTCTAGGGGAATGAGTCACCAATCAAATACGAGTCATAATCGTACTGGCAAACTAACCGACAAAGTATGCAATTTGCGCTTCAGTGTCCACCTACATGGAAAACAGGCTGGTATTGTCAACTGTAGCAAGTACGGACAATGTTGGAGATGGACGAAAACTGGTCTAAGTATGATTGTAAGGGAATAATCAGGGAAAGATATATCACCAACCCGCAGATTCCGTGGAGCAGACGGTCGATCTGGCAAAGTGGCAAACGTCACCACCTCAGTCCATCGGCTTCGACCATCCGTATTGGACGCAGCCAACCGAAAACGGTAACGTGTGTTGCGGCGCAAGTTCTCCACACAATGTTCCGTTCCGGAGCCATCGAACACGGTGACAAAACCATGCCCCATCGCCTCATCATCCATTTCGAGAGTATAGGTCAAACTAACAACGGGCGCGGATTGGGCAGCCCGGTGACTAGGAGAGTCTGGGTGGGTCCAAGCCAGAGTGAGACTGTGAACATCCGCACTAATCAGGAATGGAGTGTGTGGAGTAGATGGCGGGCTACCGGATGTGGAAGTGGTGATTGTGCTACTCCAAGGGCTATGGTAGGAGTTTCCAAAAAGACAGGCGAATTAGGACCAATGAGTGGATGAAATGAAGACGAACACGGAGATCAATGATAACACAGAGAGCAAGGGGTAAAATGACATCAGACATGGTCATTCCATGGATTACGGTCCAAAGAGAGAGAAAGACAGATCATGGATGGATGTCACCTCGGTGGCTCACATGGTTAGTGCGGGACTTCAACCAAACAAATGAGCACGCCTGATTTATGAGGACTATCAGCACAAGCGCAATCACACAAATTAGGTCGACCGGCTTCATGTGACTGACTAACCACGCTATAGTTGGTTGAAAATTGTACACATAATGATACTGAGAACATTTGGGTCGAATTGAAAAACAAACAGCTTTCGGATCTTTACCGGCTGCCCTATAGATCCTGTTCATATATATAT